AACTTATAAGGAAAAACGTAATACTTTTGAGAACAAATGTAATATTTTTGTATTTTGATGTAAAAGTATTAATTTTTTCATCAAAATTATTATATTTTCCCTTATAAATAATATTGCACTTATAAAAGTATTGCATTTTGCTTCAAAAGCATTACATTTTGCTTCAAAAGTATTACATTATCCCATATAAGTAATAAACATTTTATTCTTAATTTAGTATCCCATTTACTAGTATAAGTATTACATTTCATCTTACCCAAACCCGTCTCACGGATCCTATCACAAATTTTTGCCTTTCTTTTGTTTTTTGTTTAAAAAAAAAAAAATTCTTTACGTTATGAAAAACATCCTTTTTGTCCTTAAAAAGCATATCATTTTGGTCCCCTGATGTGTATGTGTTTTTAAGGGTCATCTATTGTTAAAAGTTCCAAAATATATCTTAAACTTAAAAAAAAAAAAAAAAATTTGAAGTGGTTCTAGTTATTAGACAAGCATAATGCAAGTTAAGGTTACTTACTTCAACATTCAAAGTATTAGTTAAAATGTTTAGGAAAAGAATAATGCAAAGTTTCTTAATTTTACCTTCTAATATTTAGCTCTTGACCTGACAATAAATTATTTTTCTTCATTAGCTACCATGAATTGCGCAACCTCACAAAAAAGTTAAAAAAAAAAAAATCTATATGTACAATAATCAAATATAAAATGAATCAATCAAATAATGTCATGTAAGTATGTGAAATCTAAAAAAATTGAACATATTTTATAATTTGTAATAGTGTGAAACCAAAATAACTAACCACGAATCACGAATAATGTCCAATATTAGCTAAGAACAATCCCCAATTATAAAGTTTTTAGCTCAAGTTTTTTATGTCATCTAAGAAAGATAAGAAAAAAAAAACAAAAATAAATAAAAAGAAAAGCCGGTCACAAGTTCACAACTCTGGGTGCGTGCATTGTGATTGTACTCACCCGTTGGGTTATGTTGTTGGTGTGAGATCCAAAAAAAAAAAAAAAAAAACAAAAAACAAAAACAAAAACAAAAACAAAAAAAAAAACAAAACAAAACAAAACAAAGTACTGCAATATATCATCTTTCCTGGCGAATTATACCATAGATTAAGGTCTATCTTGTATTATGGATCTTGATCCAAAATAACTTTTAAATTATGTGTATGCAATTGACATATTTTGTATCTATAGTTAACCGTTTTAGTGTCTATCAATAAATTGACATAATATGTTAACTACAAACACATAAAATGGTAACTACATGCACATAAAATGTTAACTACAGGTATAGAATATATATGTTAATTGTATACACATAATATATTGTTAACATATTATATGTCTACAATTAACATATTCAGTATCTGCAGTTAACAAATTATGTATATGTAATTACCATTTTATGTGTTAGTAGTTAATATGTTATGTGCCTTTAATTTATTTACATGCACAAAAATTGTTAACTACAGTTACAATATATATTTTTTCTTTAAATATGTATAAATATTGATTGAACTAATTGACATAGACTCTAAACGGATCAACTAAACTCGCATAAATTAAAGGAATAAAAATGGCAAACAAGAAGAATTGTATTAGTATTGAGTGGATAAGTGTAATGACGGTTACAAGAATATTTTAGGAATTGAACATGATTTGTAATAACTAAATAATTACGGAGTACAATATATACAAGAGGAATCCAACCAATTTAACTAATTTCATTGTGGGCTACAAGACCGGGTCAAAGCTCACCCGATAGGTCGCAGGGTTGGGCCAAATCTGGCCGTTCTATCTCCAAAGAAGGGCTCCAAGGTAGAAGTAGAAGGCAAATTATCGTGTGGACCATGTTCACATAGTTGTGTGGACCATGAATACAAAGTACATTTTTAATATATTAAAAGTACATTATTTTTGTACTAAATGTACATCATTTAATACATAGTAGTATATAAAATAATATACTTTTAATATATTAAAAATGTACTTTTAATTTATGGTCCATACATCTGTATGGATAATGGTCCATGTAATAATGTTTGGAGGTAGAATGGTTATTAGTTTCTATTTAAGAAATACATTTTTTATTTTTTAAAATTATAAAATTGACGTTGAAATATTTTATAGAGTTCTTATAAATGTTTAAGAGAAAGAAATATAAAAACGTTTTTGGCCGTTTACTAACCAGAAATTTTGGAAATTTTCAGGAAACTGAAAAATAGAAAACAGAAAATATGTTTACTAACACAGTTTTTCATTTTGAAAACTGAAAATAATTTCTGAAAAACTGGAACACACTTAAAAACTGTTTTCGAAATGGAAAACAGAATTATCTATCATCTATTTAGTTATATGTCACTATAACTACATTACTATGACTACATTCATTATAATTTTATTTTAATTATCACTATCTTTTATCTTTTCTACTTACTTTACGTATTTAAACATAATTTATTTGCTTACACTTTAAAGTTAGACATTATTTACATTATCAAAATTAAGAATTAAACTCTATATAATGTTTTAGATTTTGATTGAACTCAATAGATTATTAGTTCAAATATTTGTAATTATGTTACATCATAATACAAGTTCGGTCTAGATATCGGATCTTGAAATCTAATATACATTAGAATTCAAAGTAAATTTTAGGTGAAAACTGAAAAATTAAAAAACAGGAAACAGAGAACAGTTTTTGTTAGTAAACAAGTTTTCTAAACAGAAAATAAAGAATGAAAAACAAAAAATTATTAAAATTGAAAAATTAAAAAACAGAAAACAGTTTTCTGTTGATATACGGACCACGTTTACAAGTTTGCATGCTATTTTGTTAATTAGCTTCTGTCGGCGTCTTCATGCATTTCCCAAAATAGAATTTAAAAATAAAATAAACATAAAAGGTTTCCTCCCTACTTTTCTATACGAAAGAAGAACAAAAAGGAGATGGTATTGTACGAGGAGAGGACCACAAAAATAAATAGAGATGGAGAACAGTTCCATAGGCTAAGGCCTAAGGATATTAAAAAAAAAAAAAAAATGATTGTGATCGTTCTACTCATAAGTCATAACAGTACAGGGTTGTTTTTTCTCCTCTCCACGTGATACGTGATTATATGTTTTGGTTTTAATGAATTTTATGATGTGTTTGATTTACGGGAAAATACATTTTAAGTGAAATTTGTCTGTGATTATAACTAAAAATTATGTGCAAAAAATGACGTCATTTTACTTTTAAAAAATCATTTTTGATTGTCGCTAGTTATGTAAACATATGTTCATAATTTTATAATTTCACATTATAAATGTATAGTTATGAAATTATGAATGTATAATTATGAAGTTATGGATGTAATAGTTCAAATTATGCACAACATAACGCCGTTAACGACAATCGAAACTGAATTTTTTATTATTATTTTTTTAAAGTTGAACGTCAAAACGACGTCGTTTTTGCAACCGTGTACACCATGCATGGTGCATACGGTTGCACAGCATAACTACTCTAAAAGATCACAATGAGGTAAATCAACTTAAGTTATCTATATATAGTTAACGGGCTTAAACAAGAAAATTAAAATTCAGATATATATATATTTACATAATATTAAGTATGGAGCCAAATTTTAATAAGAGGAAATTTCAATTTTGGTCATATGACTATGGGGGTCTTGTTAATTTCAGTCCCTAACTTTCAAAAGTGTCAATTTAGTACCTTAACTATGCAATTTTTGTTAATTTTAGTCACTTCGGCCACATTGTCGGTCAAATTTCACCGGAAAAATTTAATAGTTAAAATAATGAGATTATTTTGGTCATTTCATGCCCCTTTTCTTCTTCTCCGGTGAATCCATCTCTTTCTCTCCCGTTTCCGGCGTTCTTTCTCCCTCTAAACCCTATCTTTAATATCATCAAGCCTCCTTTCCCCATCATCTTAGTACATTGCATTCACCGGAAACGGGAGAGGAAGGGATGGACTCGCCTGAGAAGAAGAAAAGAGATGTGAAATGATCAAAATACCCTCATTATTTTAACAATTAAAATTTTCCGGCGAAATTTGGCCGACAATTTGACCGGAGTGACTAAAATTAACAAAAATTGCATAGTTAAGGTACTAAATTGACACTTTTTAAAAGTCAAGGACTGAAATTAACAAGACTCCAATAATCATATGACCAAAATTGAAATTTCCTATAATAATAATCATAATATTATTATTATTATTATTATTATTATTATTATTATTATTATTATTATGATTATTATTATTATTATTATTATTTTTTTTTTTTTAAATACTCATGATTCTACTTTCTCAATTATTTTTTGCTCGAAGAATCTAAACCCATACCATCGAAATTCAAACTTATGACCATTCATTTAGAATGGTAAGTGAAATGTCATCCTACAACATAGTACTTTGCTATTATTATTATTATTATTATTATTATTATTATTATTATTTCCACAAGGGAATTGACGGGTCTCTGCAGTAGGGAAATCAAATTTTTATTTGCATGGATTTGCATAGTCAAATACGCAAAACGTGAAATCGGTGCGTACGTCGAAAATTATATATTAAATGTTTACAATTTACTTTTTAAAAATTTAATGTATTAACAAATTTTTAAAACATAAAAATACAATTTATATTCTAGAACTTCACAATTTCAATACTAAAAATACACAATTTAATATCATAATCTACCTTGTAAGATGAACTCTAAATCCCTGGTCCATGGTATAACAACTTCGCATACGCGTACTTGACTACATACATATTCTGATTTTCTTTTCTTTGTGGCTGCATACTACATACTCCGTATTTTATATACACAATTTTTCCCTGCCACAATTATATTATCTATACACTATACGCACAAAAAATTAATTATCAATAATGGTCCTCCCCCCTACCCCCTACCCCCCACCCAAACCCCCACCTTCATTAATTTCTATAAATAGTAAGTACAGTTTGCGACATGACAATGCACACTGCATACTCACAAGCCTAAAAGAAATAATTGTGAAACTATTTCCAGTTTCTAACTCATGGAAACCTCTTCATCACTAGCCTGCATTCAGTCTCTGGTCAATGAGATCAAGAAACAAGTTTTCTCGACCCAGAGCTCTCATCATCTCGTTGCACCGTCTCCTTATGATACAGCTTGGCTAGCCATGATCCCTGACCCCAGTAATCCTGACCGTCCGTTGTTCCAGAGTTGCCTCAACTGGGTGCTTGATAACCAGAATGAACAAGGGTTTTGGGGGGATTACAATGGCGAGGATGGGATCCCCACCATTCATGCTCTCCCTGCAACTCTTGCGTGTTTGGTTGCCCTCAAGAAATGGAATGTTGGTGAACACAACATTAGCAAAGGTAACTTCAATTTATCCAGCTTTCTATAATATAGTAATTGATGATCAAGTACAATAATAATCCAGCTATAATGGAAGAGTCTACAATAATAAGCCAGAAAAACCCGCAACCACTACCGGAAAGTTTGCACTGGATAAATCTCTCATTCTGATCCAGTAAAGGTTCTAGGTTGCTCATAACTATTTCACGCAAATTAAGATGGTCAATAGGGCATTTCCCACTAGGAGTCAAACTTAACTTGAAACTGAGCACTCTCATTCCTTAATTAAGAGAGGTTCGGAGTTTAAAACTCCTTATATAGAAAACCCAATTATGACACGGGACAAACTCTTTATTGTTTCCTATAATAAGCAAGTAATTTATCCTTGACGATTTTAATGTTTCCTCACTTTTAGGTTTGGCGTGTTTTCATGCACATGTTGATATGGTCCTAACTGAGAATGCTGGTCGGCTTCCACGTTGGTTCACCGTCGTTTTCCCAGCGATGATTGACCTAGCACAAGCCACCGGCCTGCACCTTACGTTTCTCAATCAACCAGCAGGCACTTTGCTTTCAAACCTTTTCATCAAGAGGAAGCAAATGTTTGAAAGGTAACTTTCCTAATTTAGAATTATAATAACAATCCGTACACGTAACATAATCTCATCTTATCAATTTGATCAATTTACCCGTAATTTAACCATAAATATAAAATTTGTAACCCTACACGCTTTACTTGATGATGACGTGACGTAAGGATGAAATTTTGCAGAGAAAAGCTTGTGGATGAGTGGGGGCATTATTCTCCAATATTTGCGTATTTGGAGTGTTTTCCGAGTGCAATTCTTGATGATCAAGAAAAAATATATGAACACTTATATCATGGTGACGGGTCGTTTTTTCAATCACCATCTGCCACCGCACACCTTTTCATGACTACTGCAAATGCAAAGTCTCTAAAATATCTTAACTCTCTTGTTCAAAACTACCCCAATGGAGGTGAGCAAAACTTATACGGAGTATTAATTAAATTTCAATTTCTCGTACAATTGTGTTGTTTGGCTCACAAGCACGACAACCCCATCTTGGTCAGACAACGATTGATGGACATAGCATTGGTACAATGATGTTCTGTAAAAAGCAGTGTTGCAAAAATCGCATCTGGACACTAGGCGTTTTAGGTGCCCGTCTAAGCGTTCTAGGCCCCTAGGCAGTCCCAGGCGCCTAACGATTTTTTCAACATTGGTAAAAAGTAGCACTTTTCTATCTTTACGTCCTATTTAGTCCTATTTAAAATGAAACGTGAAAAATAATGTTACAAAACCTGTAATATTTATAATACGCTCAGTACGATTCTCAAAGAATTAAACTAAACGTACAGGTAAGATTTTAAGTTACTGTAGAAATAATTTTTTAGTTTGTATGAGTGCCAAAAGTACAGGTGCAGATCAACGTCGTTTTCCTATATACTTATATATTTATCATTTGATATAATATTTAATATTTAATAATTCCCTTAAACAGTGGCGGCAAGGTACCCCATGGACGAAGAGCTAATAAAGCTTTGCGTGATAGATCACATCCAAAGGCTGGGGTTGGCTGAGCATTTTAGCCAAGAAATTGCGCAAACTCTTTCGCAGATCTATAGGTATATATAATATAATAATGTCACCTAATTCCTCATACTAGGTTACTAAAACTATAATTTATTTCACATAACTAACCCTCCAACTATAGTGACGGCAGTTTTACTTTATTTACCAGGAACCAACAAAAGGCGGCGGAATTGCCTCACGATATGACTAGCCTAGCTGAGAAGTTACACAAGGACTCTCTAGCTTTCCGGCTTCTCCGAATGCAAGGATTCCACATGAATCCAAGTATGAATTTTATTGTTACATCTCCAAATGTTTTTTTAGTCACAAGGGAAACTCACAGCCATGAGTCTGGATGGGTAAACACAACCTTGTAATGATAATGATGTAAACCAGTCTATGCCGTTCATATATAACTGATCGGTTCAAATTAAGAATGTCAATAAACTGTTCATTGCTAAAAGTCAAAGTTGTAACATTATGGTTACCTGGTCAACCGTCTGACTAACTTGACTGTGGTTAGTTGCTCCCGAGAATGTTATTGACTAGTGTTCTTGCATGGCGGCAGGGAAGCTTTGCTGGTTTCTGAAACACGAAGACATTGTGGGTCACCTAGAAGAGAATCACGAGTATTTCACATGCGTACTGTACAATATCTACAGAGCCACAGACCTCATGTTCCATGGAGAGGATGAATTGGAGGAGGCAAGGTCATTCTCAAGAAACTTACTTCAGAAATCGCTGGCCCTCAGAGATGGTGACGATAATCTATCAGTATCCCCAGAACTGCTAAATCTGGTAATAAGTTGGGCTAGCTTATATGTATAATTTTTTAATATTCGAACCTATGCCTGTTATCTTTTCTAGTCCCATCATGTGTTGAATATATGAAATATTGATAAAATGTGTAGATTGAGCGTGAATTGAGTGTCCCGTGGAGTGCACGAATGGATCACCTTGACAACAGATTGTGGATCGAAAACAAGTTCAACCCATTATTATGGATTGGGAAAGATTCCTACTATAGGTATAATTAGTTTTTTCGAGACCATAATTAATTATTGTCACTTAAACATTAATATATGGACATATTTTAAGGTTATCCTGTCTTCAAAATGAGAAGCTACTGCAACTTGCTGAGAAAAACTTCGAGCTTCGACAGTCTACTTACAGGAATGAACTGGAAGAGCTGAAAAGGTTAAACCTGAAGTTAATTAAATCATTGTTCTTTACATATTTTATCAAATTTGTTGGTCTTTGTGCGGTTTAATTAATCACAGTGGGCCTGTTTGGTTGTTAATATTTAGGTGGTCCAAGGAAAAAGGACTTGTTGATATTGGATTTGGGAGGGAGAAAACCATGTACACTTATTTTGCAGTTGCGACCAGCACATCTTTGCCCCACGATTCCATCATACGTTTGATTGCTGCGAAAGCTGCCATAGTTATCACCGTAGCTGATGACTTTTTCGACATGGAAGGTTCTTTACCTGACCTGCAACTCTTAAATGATGCAGTTCAAAGGTAATATATATTAGAGTTCTACTATATGTACTCCCAAATCTTCTTTCCTCAAATTTACTTTCTGATGTGGCGGACTCTCATAGATTATTTTCTCTATGTGGGCCCCTGTGAAAGTGTCTATGTCACTATTTTAAGTGTGAGAGTATAGAATGGAAGTATATGTAGTATTTTCCTATATATTAATCCTCCGGACACCACAAAACACGCATTAATTGTGCTAGGTTACGTTTTATAAGTCTGATGTACTAAATAGCTAATTGTCTTATCAGATGGGATGGCGAAAATCTTCGTGGCCCTAGTAAGGTTATCTTTGATGCCCTGGAAGATCTTGTGACAGAAATCGCAACAAGATATTACATTCAACGTGGAAGCAAAATAACAGCACAACTTAGAGATATCGTAAGTTTTTTTAAAAAAAATAAAATTACATACTATAATTCTTTTTTTTTTTTTTTTGGTCACGAGGAAAATCATATCTTGGTTGATAGATGAACAATATATATTTTGATTAATGTACAGTGGAGAGAGACATTTGGTTCATGGATGAGGGAAAGTACATGGAGCCAAACAGGATATAGACCCACCATGGAACAGTATCTTGAAACTGGCATGGTATCCATTGCTGCCGACACTGTTCTTCTTCCTGCGGCTTGTTTCTTAACTCCTAGCTTGCCTACTCACAAAATGAAACCTGCTTTCTACGAGGATGCCACAAAGCTGCTCATGACTGCCACCCGTTTATTGAACGACATCCAAAGCTATCAAGTAAGTCCATTCTTTACTGGAAACCTAGGGTTCAGACAACTTTAGGGTGGTTGAAAATGGTGTGTTTTCCTTTATATTAATGTTAGGCAAGGGGGTAACACCGTCAAATTGATTGTTAATTATAAGATTTCAAGTTTGACTCTGGGTGAAAGGAGTCTATTGACCATCTAAGTTGGTTTAAAACTGTTAGCTATGGGTAATTAAGGCGGGTTTACTTAATCTTTCGTCAACTAAAGTTACAATACATGATTTACCTAATACACACTCTCAAAATGGTCAAAACAGACTTAGCCAGTCTGGTTAGCTTGTCCGGTCACACAAAAAAGTGTGGCAGGCTTCGAATTTTATAGCCCACAAAATTGACGGGCTTTTTAACTGGTCCTGCCAAATGACAAGTTTTGACTGGTTTTAGTTAGTCCGTTTTGATGGCTCTACCGTCACTGAATTTTGGCATAAATTAATGTGTGCTTCATGATATGATGTTGATAACAGAAGGAAAAGGAGGTTGGGAAAATGAACTATGTATTGCTACACTTGAACGAACATCCAGAAGGACATATAGAGGATTCAATCGCCTACGTTAACGACATGGTTGACAAGATGAGGAAACAATTTCTCCAACATGTACTCATGACGACAGATGATGATGGTGATGACAACTACAATAATATGCCCAAATCATGCAAACTTTTTCACCTTTCTTGCTTCAAAGTGTTCCAGATGTTCTTCAACTCCTACAACCTCTTCGATTCCAAGGCGGACCTAATGCAAGAAATCATGAAAGCTTTCTACATTCCTTTCGAACAAGATCAACAACCATCCAATAATCCTCTAATAATAAAGGTCATAAAACCCCTCCCAGTGCTGCCACCCCTGGAGAGGAGCAGTAGTAGTGAAGGTGCCAAGGTTTCTGCTTCTTTGGGCCCAGCTGCAACCTTAAAGCACAAGAATAAGGTTGCCATAAGCTTCATTAGAAAACAGGTTCCCAGAAACTGTTCTTTGGGTTTCTACAGCCCTAAACCATGCACCCCTGCAAAACTCAAGTCTTGTTTCATCTAATCCCAAATCATCAAGCTAAGCACCTTAGAATTTAATTTTCGTTTTATATATGTAACATATACTAGTTGTAACAAGTAGTGTATCGTATATATATATTCAGGCCATCCAGGGTGGGTGTCCTGGAGGCAAGGAAATTTCGCCTTTGTAGAAAAGTAGTGTATCATATAGTTTGAATAAAAATGTGAACTTTGTTTGGTGTGCATCATTGCGGCAAATTATACCAGAACTAGGGTTCACCTTACATTGGAGACACCCTGGTCTAAAAATTATTTATAAGCACATAATTTATAATCTATTAACGAAGACATATATAGAGTAATATATTAACTGACACATAACTTTTTACCAGGGTCTATAATGTAAGGTTAATCCTGATCCACGAAATAACAATTGCATCATTGCAGATCTCAGATTGCATCATAAAATTTTGGACCGGCTAGTCAAATGTTGTCATCATTTTAGATTACATAATCTTATCTTTCTAACATCAGTTCAAGTTTCTTCAACGCACAGAGTGCGCTGCTCCTGGGACCTGGATTGAAGTGAGAGGGGATGTGAATTGAAGTTTAAACCAATAAAGATGGGGAACAGGATTGATCCAGGTGCAGTAAATCCAGGTATATATGGGTTGTTCAAAGGGGTCAACGTTTAAGATTGGATGAAAGTGATAGGATGAGGCTAAGGTTAATGGGTGTGGTTGGCTGAGTGGTTTTTCAATAACAAGTGTATGTACGAGGTGTCAGTTGTGAATTAATTTCACTATTGTTCCCACGATTTTGAGATCTTATCATTTTTTTTGTGCACAACTTTAATTTTTTCAGTTTTGTTTTTTATGGCCAAATTGAAGGCAAAATGTTTTATATTTTAGGGACAAAATCGTCATCCAAGGAAAGATTTTCAATCCTTAAACAAAAGAAAAATCATATTAAGAGAAAAATAAGAGTTTGCCACATCAACGCTATAAATCCCATAGATTTGTGTCTAGTTTCTGCCCGTTTTTCACATTATTCTCATTGATCAAACACCTATAGATATTATTTTACAGTGATTTTGTTTAGATATTGAAGATGTTTTATTGAAATGACGATTTTACCCATAAAAATATAAAATCTGCCAACATTTCATCGTCAATTTGGTCGAAAGGACCAAAACTGATAAAAATAACGAAGTTAGGTCCCAAATTTGAAAAAAAAAAAAAATAAATAAATAAAATTGTGCGCCAAAAGTGATAGAACATCAAAAGTCGTGGGACCAAACGTGAAATTAATTCTTTGTTTTTAAAGTCAATCAAGTAATTAGTAAGTTATTTGTTTCTAAAGTCAATCAAGTAATTAATAATTTCTTTGATTTACGAGGAAAGCCTACAACCGCTACTCAAATGTGCACTCTAGGTAGTGAAAGTGTGAAACCCATTGTTCATAGCTGACTGACTGAAAGCGTAATTGTTGCTCGAAGGTGCACTTTGAGTGAAATTTAATTTGTTGCTCATAACTAATCAGTTTAAACTAAAAAGACCAATAGACCGCTCCCATATGAAGTCCAACTTGAAATTTAACTTGTAGTTATCAAGTTAACTATCTGACCAACTTGACTATGATTGCGCTTTTTGGAAATTTGATTTGGTAGCTTGAGAAGTGACCAGCCTAATCAAACTTTTTTTTAAGAGTTTAATTTTGTTTTTCATTAACGTTGACTGATTTAGCAAATCTTGAATTGGTATTATAAAACAGTATGTAAAAGTAAAAGTGTTATAGGTGAGTAATACTACATTTACTCTCACTTTTTACTCTCTATTAGATGACATCTTTTGATTGATTTAAATAACAAAATGAGTCACTGTTTTTATTCATTCACTTTTTATTTACCCAATAAAATTTGTATACATGATGGAAATTATACTCCATGAGAGTACATATATCATTTTGTTTTAAGTGTATATAAAGACTTAGCTTGGTCGGACATACCCTAAAACTTTAAGTCAAATCCATTTTTGACAATTTTTTTGGGATGAATCTAATTGAGAGTTTTATTACATGTATTTTTAAATTCTATTTCATTATTTTTACTTAATGATGTGACAGACAATGATACGCTATTTTTATCATAGGAGTTTAAAAAATTTCTACATTAATAATTTAAAAGTAAGAATAAAACTTGAAACTTGAAAGTATAACTTTAGATTTTAGAGTCCACATAATTATTTCTTTTGATTTATAGTTTTATACTAAGATTCCCTAGAAGTCTAATAAACATCAAGGCTGACATAATTATTAACCTAAGGTTTTTCAGTAATGTCTTGTCTATAGTGCTATGATGGCTACTCCACACGTGAAAAATAGATGTTTGATTTGGTAGGTTTGGATTATTGGACATTCATGAATTATTGAACTACTCTGATACATGTTATCCCATCATATATATTTTATTTTATTTTATTGTTAAGTCGTTAGGTTAGTGACATGATCACGGTTTAGTTCATATTTCGAATCATTTATCTATGATTTTAGAAAATGATAAATCGAAATTGACAATTTCAATTTGAATAGTCAGTTTGAACTTTTTTTTTCCTTAAAAATCTAACTTTTCTATTTTTTTTTTATATTTTTCCAATACGTTAAAATTTAAAAGTTAAAGAATTACGGCTGGTTAACTTGAAAATTTAAAATTAAATGTGACAGAACCACTATACTCAAAAGACCTCATATGACATTAACTCTAATATACTGTAAAAATAAAAAGTTATATGATGTATTACATCATCTTTACGCACATTAAGTCCCCCACACACAACATCGAAACGTGGTACCGTGAAACATTATCATAAAATTCCCCAAAATGATTATATTCGAATGCCCCAACATCCACAGCCAAAATAAACAAGAGATCAGATGGTTTATGATAGCTAAGGCTCAAACTACATCTCTTTTTATTCCTCTTTTATTTATTATTCTCTTCCGCTTTTGGCTTAGGTTACAAAGCACTCATACATATATATATATATATATATATATATCCATACTACTCATCAGATTTGACAGAGCCAACAGTTACTCCGTACTATGTTACAACAACATCAAAATGTTTTTGACAGCTAAGGGTTACGCTGGAAAGGAAGAGATGCTCCAGAAATGAACGACGAGAAGAACGCCAGCGACTCGCTGGGTTTAAAAGTGGGCACGGCATGACCCGCTCCTCTAAAAGTAGCAAAAGTTAGGCCTTTATACTCTTGAACCCATCCACCAACCTGTTTCCAAATAAGACTCAGATGTTCAGTTAGCCAATCCAGGCATCATCGTACAAAAGTTTAAGAATATTGGGAAAGAATCGTGTCCTCGTGTGTCTGGTCTTGAATTAATAGCCAATAACCGGTTTCTGTCAAAGGGTTCTTTCAAGTTTTCATTGTGGGTATAACATCATGGAATATGATCTGCCTTAAGTTTCCTAAATTTAGAGGAATATTGTACTAGGCTAGAAGTGAAATATGATGTTTATATATATATATTCCGTTTTCTTCTTTATCACAGAAACAGATGAGACGAGTATTTTACCTGTTTTTGATGGTACCATGGTCTCCATGCTTGGGTGATGGGAAGACCCAGTGCGCTTATGCTGTATCTTGTAGATAAAACGGGGACCCTTCCATCTGTGTCTCCACTGAATCAACAAAAACAGAAATGCGTGAGAACTTGAGCACAAAATTTCGCTTTTAGCAGAAAGATGGATGGTGTAAGAACTTTTTGGTTTTAGTGGTGGTTTTAAAAAAATGCCGAGAGCCCCCACATGGATAGGTATGCAGTAGTGTGTGAAAATATTCCCACCCCACACCCAGAATAAAAATAAATAAATAAATAAAAAATAAAAAAGGAAATGGAAAGACGAGAAAGAGAGAGGAGAGCAATAGCCAAGATTCCAAGAAAAGAAAACGCATCACAACGCGATAAAAATAAAAAAGAAATATAAAAGTTATGATGTACCTGTAGACCCATATTTTAAGTCCTGCTGCGATGAGTTTGTGATATATAGGAAGAACAGAATCCTTTTGGTATGACCAATCATAGAAGAGCGACATGCTGCATCAAGTATATATATATATATATATGATTACTAAAAGCTTATTACTCGTTATACAGCATTATTCTCTGCTTTAAAACGCAGCAGTAGCCATGATTATCGAGATTTAAGAATCAAAGTGCATTACTTGCAGATTCTCCAGTCCTTTAAGTTGTGTCCATCGCTAGCATGAAGAGCCTTCTGAACATCTGGTCTATTATAATACGATTTTGTGTAACCGTCCAGACATGGGTCATATCCACCCATAAGCCTCGGCATCTGGCAACAAAATAATCAATTCAGTCAAACGAGAGCTAAAGCCATCATTCAAGTGTTAATAACCATTTTTTTCACCAGTGGAAACTTCCTTGTCATTCTGTCACTATAAGTCACAGGTCATCGATTTATTAGGATTTGCCCATTATACTATTATTATTATATATGTTCTCCAAGAAATGTAACCAAAAATAATATTTTCGAAGAAGGTTGTGCAATTCCTTACCACCATCTTGGATGAGCTCTTGAAAACGGCTTCTGATGAATTGTCATCTGAACTTGGCAAACTGTCTATACAAACGGATGTATATAGGCTGTACATATCTATCTCCTTGTACTGTCTATATACTTCATCTATAGCCTGAGTACAATCCTTATTGCTCCATGTATCATTGCTATTGAAATCACAGGATTCTAAGATTATGCTGTGGGTTTCATCCGATATTATAGCATGGCTCCAAGCATAATCCACTATACCCTTCCAGTCCTCGGCATCAGATGTTTCAGGATTGCCAAGCTGCACCAAAACCACAGATTTAAAAACCCCATATCAATAGTGAGAACAAGTTTTCCCTTTTATCAAAAGTTTACCACTGTAAATGAGTTTATCAAAAGAGGAGCATACCAGTACTCCTCTAAGATCGATGGAAAGGGAAGGATCTTTGTTTTTGTCAACAATGAGCTCAGCTAACTGAGGTACATACTTCCCTGTCAAAGCAAGAAACAAGATATGGGTGTGCATGAAAAGTTCAATGACATGAAACCGTAAAGAATTTTTGTAACAAATCAATATATACCTGCATAACTCTCCCCAGCAATGTAAAAGGCTCGGGTTCTAAACGATGGGAACTTGAGAAACCACTTGTGCAGGAAAGTATATGCATCATTTGCTATGTAATAACCATAAAAGGACAATCTTTCAGCAAAACAGATTAACAAACATCCGACCTCCATATAAAACAATCATGCAGGGATTAAAGCACAAGGATAAAGCATAAATCGGTGGTGTCACAACTCCAGCACGGAGAAAAGACCAAGGTGAGAGGAAAGCAAGGGTGGAAGATCAAAGGCATGCAGAAGGAAAGATATATCTCACCTGCAAAATCATCTCCGAGATTGACAAAATCAGCACTCATATTTGAATATGAGAAGCCTACACCGATTGGAGATTCCAGGAATAACAAGTTCGCTTCTGCATGATTATCAAAAATAACTTTAAGAGTAACATCATGGGTGCATGCAGAGTAAGATCATTTTATATCAAGCTTTTTCAGGACATGATATTATATACTTCTTCCAGAAGAAATGTACTTTTAGGCTGAATTACAAGAAATTTAAGCTTGTTCACAGGTGCCAAACCTCTGTTCCATGAGTATGGATTAGCTGTCAAGCCAGATCCATCAGAGTCCACAAGGAAAGGTCCAATCTCTTGTGTTGCCCCATATCCCACAGAGGAACATCCCGGACCTAAAACACAGACTATTGTCACTCTACAAGAGAAAAAGAAATCAAAGCTGAAAATGAAACAGTAGAATTTGCTAGTTACTTGGAAAGGAGGAAAAGGTGATGCCCACTTTGTGGTAAGAAACAAAATGGATGAACATTTTTAAAGCCTATCAATATTTTAATGTTTTTTTAAACAAAAGGAAAATTAGGATGTGGGATTGTCTAAAGACAAGGTAACAGGACAAATTGTTAAGGAATCTCTTCCCTTGTCTTCCAGACTTCATTTGGTCAATGACCATTTCTTTACCTTATGCACCACAAGTTGGATATAAAGGTTGGTCAAAAGACTGATGAAAATCTCGGGTAATAAAGAGTAATCTAGTCAAAGAAATCATCCTAGGCATTATTAACGTGAGAAAATACATCTGAGTAGTTGCAAACATTTTCATTTTGGACCATTTTGGGAATTAACCATTATATTGAAAAATATGAGAAGCAAAACATGTCCACATGCATGCATAGCAAGTTAGCAACTCTTCTGGTTACCACACTCAAGTCTGCAGTATAAAACATGTAAGATGTCATTGATCTCATAACAGAATCTGCAGGTTACATAATTAATAATTCTTACCTCCATTAAGCCAGAGCACTAAAGGTTTTTCTTCAGGTAGAGTTAAAGATTCATAAAACCAGTAGAAGAGTGCTCTTCCATTATTCTCATTTACTGTCACATACCCAGCATAGTGTCTGAAGCCAACACTAGGCTGGCCAGGCAATTCAGTCACAAGATCTCCGTTGCCCAGAGAATCAGATATTTTCTTGTTAGACCATTGGGAAAGTCTTGCAACTGCAACTGGTTCAAAAAGAAGCAAGGAAACAAGAAGCAGAGAAAAGGAAGGTATCATTTTTAATGCAATATCCATTCAGACAAAAAACACAGATTTGGAGAGAACTTCTAAACTAAGAATGCAAGTACACAACTACCCACAGGCCTATATATAGTTGTTGGAAAGTACTTTATCAACATATCCATCTAGATGTGAGATTTTAATGTCTAACTGAAGAATCCTACGTATCAAACTTACTTTAAAATTGAACAAGAACTGTATAGCATCTAGGCATGACCACAGTTCGGACCAAACCAGCCTGTGAACAGGAGGATCAGAACCATGGCCCCGGTTATGGTTCCGAAGTCCGAACCTTTAAAAAATAAAAATTTATTATATATAATGTATTAATATAATGTATTTCTATATATATTAGATGTATTAATAACTATATTAATAGTCACTTCTATATACATACATACAAAATATATATTAATTAGAAATTGGGTATATTATGTATTAATTACCATTTAATAGTCACCCATTATGGCATCTGACGTAGATATTAGGCAGCTTCTAGTATTTGGTTATGAACAAAAAGTAAGTGGAGCCTCCATTTTGATTTGTGGGTTGTTGGATCACAAGTCACGTGCACAAAGGCCATAAGAATAAGTTTCATCATATCTAGAGGAGGCTAGAGCTGTTAGCAAACCAATAGGTTTCGCATGCTCAGCTCGCTTCAGAGTTCAGACTTGGCTTCTGCATTGGTTTTGCAACTAACAAATCAACCCCAAACAACATTTTAGGCTCATTTTCAAACTTCAGCCATTTTTGAATGTTTGATATGGAGATTATTTGAGCAACAAAATAACAAGCCAGCTTAGCATAGCTTGTGTGGACTAAATGAGCCAAGTCTAAGGCCATTAATATTTGAACCAAGCTGAACTCTAACTAAGTTTTAGGCTTGTTTGCAAAATGAGTCAAGCCAACCAACTTAACCAAGCCACATTCAACCAACTTAAATGGCTCATGTATAGCTCTAAATCCATACCTAAGCAAAGGTTTAGGCAAAATACTAATTCATTGTCAATCCTCTTCTTCAACATATGAAAACTCATTACTACTGCCTGCTATATTTCCAATTCAGAGAAGCATAAAAGCATAAATTATTAAAACTGGAACCTAGACTAATTACTTGAGAAATAAAAATAGCATTTTCTCATTCTGGAAGTACTCAGTAACTTATCATGATGCTAAAGTGAGTTTTTAGTAGAGGCATGTTCTAGTAAACACCACTATACTTTTTGACTAGAAAACAGGATCACCAATCAGTGTCTAATTCTATAATGTGTGAACTTAATGACCAGAATATTTTATCAACTTATCATAACTAGAATTTACTTGATACATAAAGCAGGAGAAAGACTACCACGGACCAATGAGTTAATGGCACATTCAAGTGATCATCACCATAACAGGCAATCAGGAACGCCTAGACACTTCAATTAAATCTATTCACATATTTTAAGGTAAATATCACTTATGATATACAATAATATGTTTGGAATAGGGTTTGTTGGCCACTTTGAACATGCACCAAGAGATACAGTTATGGCACACTATAACAAGGTTCTAAAATTAGAATAAAACAAAAACCATTTTCACCAGTATATAAGCACCTAGTACTAAAGCTTCTGTTACAATGTCAATGACACATTTATGCATAAATAAATAAACTATTTCCAGCACATAAATATTTTAGTGCATGTTCAGTATGGTCTTACAAGTCATTCTTCAAGCCATGGAAGTGACAAGTGGAAAGACACTGCAGTATATATTCCAAATTGATGGTTTCTTTAGTGTACAGAAAAAAAAAAAAAAGTTGAGCCATTTTAGGGAATCTCATCATCAAAGAGAAGAAAAAGGAATTTTGTGGCGAACCTTGTGTGTTGTGACTCTTTGATCTGTAGTCAAGAATTGAAAATGTAAATGGACAATTACAACAACCAACTTGGATATGAATAATGAGTGGGATCCAACTTTTTTTTTTTTTTGGAATAATTAGGATTTAGGAGTGCAAAACATCTCTGATTATTCAAGTATTTTTTAGGGGGGAAGACTAATTTCCAACTATTCACATACGGAATGCTGAATGCTAGTATGCCAAACAACTACCAATCATGATCATATTATATTCTGCAGTGATATTCTTCTCAGATCCATTAGCCTTGATTTTATTAATCTCTAGCTTCTTTATGGCATCATATCCTCTTGCATGTGATTAAGCATCAAGAATGCATGCACTTGAAAGCTAACACTTCCCTTCAGAGGCATTAAAACATGCATCTTTACATATATTTTAAGCTAAAGAGCAATTTATTTTAACAATACATTCTTAAGTCCTTAACAAATCATTATCTATTGATGGTGATTAGAAGTAGCTGCGCAATTATCACAGTGAAGAATATAGTTACTGTAATGAATTTTGATAATCTGCTGCAGTGGAATGAGATTTTGATGCTGAAGATAACAGATGTGTGCAGACTATTGCATCTATATCTTGCCCAACACATTTCCTCAATATAAAGCATCACCTATAACACAAAAATAGAGTAGCTTTGCAAGTTAGCTGCTACCTAAGGAGCTATCCTTGTGTTGTGCAAATAGCATTAGCATATCCATCTATCACCTCAGAATTACAGATCATATCCAAGAAATCTTATCCTAAAGGAACTATCTTAACTTATCCAACCTTCAGCAATTTCAAATACAGAGAGTAGGTTTCCTTCTTTTCAAGTGATTAGCAAAAGATGTGTTATATGAAAGGCTTAGTCATTATAATAGTAATGCCTATAAATCTTTCATCTCATAATCTGGTGTCTTTGACCACGCCCTTGTTGAATCTCTTTAAGTTACAGTAGAAAGAAATCCAGAAGACCAGTAATTTGATCTTATCTTAACTTAGTGGGAGCTATCAAAATTATGGCCTAACTCATAAAACTTTCAAATTTCTAAGGGGAGGTCTGTCATTCATTAACGGTGTCCCATCTCTTGAGTGTTAAATTCCCAAATAAAAAATTTTAAAAATTAAAAATGCCAGAAGGAAATCTATGGAATTTCCATCATAGTAATGAAAAGATTTTCTAATATGCTTAGTAAAAACCAAGACATGACACCTCACAAACACCACGCAGGCCTAATTGTCAATATATTTATATTTCATATGTATCTGTGCTTATATTTTTATATATATTTATATGAATGTTTAATGGCTACATATAAAAGAGAATAAGTGAACAAGCGATAGGTATTAATTGGGGTTGATCCAACTGCCCTTTTATTAAGAAAGTGATACAATAAGGAATGCTAAAAAGCTCCCACATAATATCTACCATGAAGTAAATACTAAAGTTTAGCTTAACTTCTAAATGAAAAGATGGAAAGAGTACAAAAGTAGAGAGAGTGCCTATGTTTCTTTTCCAGCATCCTGTTCTTCTTGAATAACAAAAAAAGAAAAAAAAAAAAAAAAAAAAAAAAAGTGGCCCTGCAACCACAATATATTTAGCATGCTATGGCAGAAGGTGGTGGCAATTCAGTATCAAAAGATTGTCATGAGGCCAGAAGTTCAGACTAATCCAATCCAACTTGAATCATTTTTCTATTTCAGCCAATCAATAGTACGAGGGAAGACAGGGAATCCAGTCAAGGAAAACAATGTACTTTCTGCCTAAAAGAAAAAGTGAAAAATAAAATAGAAAGTGGCTTGGGTCAGTTATCCTATCCCTAACACACATTTTATTAGAATAGTCTTAAGGCTATTGTTAAGAGTCCCACATTGAAAAAAATGAGAACATATGGGTTTATAAGGTCATGGGTTAGATTAGTTAATTGATTGGATTCAGTCTTTTATTGTGGTTTGGCCCATGTGCATTATAGCACAGTTGAGTGACCTTTGTCCAATCTTATATTATAACATGGTGTCAGAGCCTATTCGGTCCACTCTATGTTCACCCATAATAGTAACAACAATAAAACTTTTGTTCAAGTAGTTTGTTGCCAACATTAGAGCTTAAGCAGACAAAGAAAATCCACAAAGAATACTTGGATTATTGTAATATACTAATATTTCGCATTCCTGTTCCTCACCCAATAATAAAAGTTATTCTACACTTATAAAAAAGATGAAACAGATAATACACTTGTTCTACATGCAACCATATCCTAGTCAGAAAATAAAAGCAAAAGTTCTTATGCTTGATTCCTTTTCACAATGTTCTGCCCTGTTATGATAAAGTACTAAGTTTGAAATGCCTATAGGAATTAAGAGAGACATGATGCCACACAGACATTACTTGTTATATATAATATCAGTATTAGGCATCCCTAACAAAAAGGCCAAATTCAATACGATAATAATCCGAAACGCCTAGTATACACCAAAAACTCAGATTAGTTAAAAGTAGGATTCTGAAGAAACAGCAAATGTGTTTCAGTGGTCTGAAAAGAATAGAAGAATGATGAATGAGTTTCACTTTCAGGGTCCTGAACAGAATACAGAGGATGGCATTCCATGGCAAAGCTCTATATAGGCGTGACTAGGATTGCCATTGTGCTAGTGCAGTAATATGAAAAGAAGGAAATGCATTCATTGTTATTCCTAGACAATTTGTCCCATTGGAAAGTTGTTCATTTGTTCTTAATTGTTTGCTTGATGACCTTCTTTACTTTATGTTGGCAGTATGATTAAAATATTGCTATATTCTCCACGATTAATATTCAATTGTTATTGGAAGTGCAAATCCTCTTCCTTGATCATCATTATTAACAAACCTTTTTTTTTTTAATTGTAAATTCATTTATTACAAAATTCTTTTTAAATCTTGCAGTAAGGCTCTTTGAATGACCAATCAAGATAAAGACTCTTGGGATGTCCAGAAGTATGGATACACCAGCTCAAAGTATAACTCTTACCAAATCTTAGGAATGTAGTATATAAATATATAATTATAAAATCCAGAAACCCATGTGAAAGATCACTTTATCTTAGGACACTGTCTGGATATGGTCATCCAACTCTAAGAGTGGATTATGATTTGTGATTTATTTATTATTATATCATAGAAATAACTCAGACATTATGTCTCCCTAAGATAGGCTCTTTACTAAATGAAGGGAGCTTCCACCAATACAAATGGCTGTAATTGGGAATTTACTACAAGGACCTAAATGCAATTTTGGGTTTCATTCACAGAGAATATTGTGCTATCCATGATTGGCCAATGACTAAGTAGGCACTAATTTGTCATTTTCTACCTCTTACATTGGATAAGAGTAAATGCCGCAGTAACTATCATCCTTTATAACCTGTAAAATTACTTTATTATATTATAATAAAAGGGACACCTGGACAAGTATATCTATATCCTCACATAAACATGTATGCCATAGTTGTTGAATACGATTACTTGTTTCTTAGATCAAACGTATGCAAACTATTCTGTTGTCTAAAAGATTGTTCTCTAGTCTGAGAGTATACGAGAAGAATTGAACAATACCTTATAAAACTGACCCTCGGGAGCATGTGATTCTTGGCATATTTTGGACAAAACTAGTAAACAAGTTTCTCTAAAGAACAGCACATGACATTATTATATTCCACGAGTTTAGTTCATAGCCGCCTTCAACAACAGTAAGGAAAAACTAGGATGATATAGTTACTAAAGAATCATATACTCTCCTAAACTGATTTAACAGTGTACAACCAACCATTTTGCAAAAAGGGTTTTTCTCATGATGCCATTGAAATGAACATAATGTAGCACAATGCATGAACTCCCACTATGCGCCAAGTCTAGCAAATCATCATACATTCATACCACAACCAGCTTCCACAATCCCTTGGCTTTCATATGGCATAATGATTTCCAAAGGTCAACAGAAGAGCATTAAGCTGATTGCATTTTCTGCCCCCCCTCTCCTATCCAAACTCAGATCATTTTGTTTTGTTTTTATTTTTTTCTTTTCCTTGATTCTAACACCCCATATGGCATGGCACACAGGTTGAAAAAACATCCACCTTTTACATTAATCTAAGAAGCATAAATTAAAATATTGCTATCCCCTTCTAACAACAACCATCTCTAGAAGCCTACCATGGCATACATAAGTTAGTGCTTGATACAAACATAAAAGGAACAAAGTTAAACACTTAAACATCATTAGCAATCTAGAAAATAGAGAACATGAAGAAAATGCCATCAACTATTGATCAATATCCAAACAGTACCCACCAACAAAACAACGTTGACTGCTTATTGGCAGAGAGCCACTTACCTAGATAAACCTAATTCATCAAGTAGTGCGCCCAAAAAGCCTGTCGGAGTCTCAGGCCACAAAATCTTCTTTTTTCTAAGAAAGCCATAAACTTTCTGCAAGGAATTACAAAGCGGCAATAAAATATTAAGAATTACGAAAGATGGATAAAGATTAAGGAACAGTCCTCTTTTTCGAAGATGTTTGGGTCCATGTTTTCGCTTTTGGAAAACTGAGCCAAAAATTGAATAAAGTGGACAAAAATAAGCAAACTTAAACACAAAACCAAAAATTATCTTCTCAAAATACAAACAAAAATTCCAAGTGTGAGGAATTGATAAATGTCCTTTTTGCTATTCACATCTTTAAATTTATCATGGTTTTATAATTATTTTACCTAGTTTAATTTCAGGAAAAATGAAGCCGTCAAAAAAGACGTGCACTTTTGAAGCATGTGAATTGTGATTGAGAATTGATAATGAGGGATAGTCAATTTACCTACCACACATGCTTTGCCTCATTTGCCTTTCTCAATGTTCAATGTTCTTAACCGAGTGGCTAGTGGCTAGTGCGTCATCCATTTCCTCAAAACCCATTTACCCACCATTCTCTTTGTTCAAAGCCCCACAGTACTAAAACACCTCACTTTCTACAACCCAAATGATTTTAAAACAAAAATTGTTAAATAAACTCTTTAAGACCACCAAATACTTTAGTCGAACCTTTAAATGTTACAAGAAAACAAACAAAAATTTTTAGTTCCTTAAATTAGCAAAATAAAAAATAAAAAATTATGTGTTATGATAACATATTCAACAAGTTATTGTTGATTAGATAAATATTGAACTTGTTGTGCTAATACGAATATTAGGTATACAATTTATTATTATTTTACGCAATATTTATTAATTTTAAATCTTAAAAAATTACAGATGATCGTCAATATCTAAATTTGGACCATTGAACCAAAGGCAACTGTGATTGCCTTCGCCCAGATGTTGAAGATGGTCGTCTTCCTCTTAGAGATGACAAATGCGCCAGCTATCCTTTATTCCAAATGTTGACAAAGGCGACGACCTTCATCTAAAGATATGCAGGCAACCATTATCGTCCAACATGGATTAGGGGTGAAAATAGTTAAGTCTTATCAAATTTAATCTTTCAAAGTTCAGTCTGACTTAACCTATTTTCGTCTCTATCATGGATGATATCCAGAGATGGTCTACCACCTTCTGTCTTTAAAAAAATAATAATAAAATAAAATACAAATGAAAATGATAATAATAATACTATTATTAAATTTTACAAACATGATCAATGCTAGTTTAAGGGGCTTAGTTGAAACTTTTTTTTAGTTAGAAGCTCAATCACATTATTTGTTTGTAATAGATGACTTATTTGACTCTTTTTTCAAAAATAAATAATTAAATTTGGAAAAAGTGCTTTCAAAAATAGAAGAAAAAATAAAGTTTTATAAAAGCAAGAAAATTGAGCAGTTTAGAGTTCCATAGAAGCAACAAGCGACCTCTTCCTCTCATGGCAACAGAACAGTCCCACAGATCCAACCATATTCCCATGTGTAAAATCTCTGAAAAGGTCAAACCTTTATGGCCTATCCCTCAAATCTTGACTACCCTTTCAAGATTTATTTGCACCCAATAATGCTGATTCGCTAGACAAAGTCTGTGAAAGTTCCAGAGAAGAAAAATCATCGCTGGGAGATCGAGCTTTTGAGAGTCACAGATTATGTTAATTATATTAGCAGCAAATTGTATGATGTGGATTTTCCGTTCATGGCAATCAATGCTGATGTAGTTACCTATCTATGATGCCAAAAAGCTAAGCAAGAACAAAAGCATCAAGATCTGTGATGGTATATATGATGCAATATAATATTCCATGTTGTTTGGGGAAACTGATGAAAATGTTAGAATTTGTCCGGCCTCTAGTGGCTGCTAGTGCCCGGCAAAAGGCAAAATCTTTCGACGCACTGTCTCTTTAGTGGAGAAGTGGAGGATCAGTGTTTAGTGTCTACAAGGAGCCTATCACATATGGTACAGTGTAACTATTCGGGCTCGATCGTCGTTATTGTCAATCTACCATTTGAGTATCAATTGAGCTGTCTGTGCAAGTTACTATTGTGATTGTTGTTAGAATGGTATTGATGATAGAATCTTGGTTGCTGGAAACTAACTAGGTAGGTTAGGTAGTGCATTATATTGCTTTTGTGTAAGCACGTACAAGTGGTGAATGTGAATGGTGGTGGAAAGCAGGTTGATGGATAATACTGCTAAAAATGGTGGTTGTGGCCTGGCCGGCAACAAGTAAATTAAAGATAAAACTATATTTACATCCATTTCAATCGCGTTGGAAAGCCATTGTCACCGGCTTTATATTAACAAATACTTCAATAGTGTATAATTGGTCATCAAGATTTCACTCACTAATATGAATTGCCAAATGTTATTTATATATGAATTAATTTATTTTTAGTCCTAGATTTATGGGTGGCAATCTACTTTTAGTTTTTTTTTTTTTAATGAAAACATCTACATTTGGTCATAATATTATTGTGGCACGATCATATTTGGTCCTCTGTCAACAAAATCGTTGAAATGTCATTAAATATAAAGACATTTCGGTCATTTTTATACAAAGTGAGTTAGCCTTGTTATATTTTTATGTTTTTTTTTTTTTTGAAAAATTCGTAATTGAAGAGCAAAATTCATTTGTATTTAACCACAATAAAACTGTTTTGTAGACAGAGAACCAAAATTAGTCATATCACACTAATACCAGGATCAAATTTGGATGTTCTGATAAAAAGACTACAAATGAGCTGTCACCTATAAACCTAGGGTCAAAAATAGAATTAACTTTTTGTATATAATCAAGTCATCCAGATGATTAAGAACGAATTACCATTTAATTTAATACATATTAAAGATGAAAAAAAAAATCAGGACATCATCTCGGATTATCATTTAATTTAATAAAAAAAATCAGGACATCCAGATGATTAAGAACGGATTACCATTTAATACATAAAGACAGAAAAAGGTCCCACCGAGATTTGAACTCGGGTTACTGGATTCAGAGTCCAATGTCCTGACCACTAGACCATGGGACCAAGTCGACACCGTCTCTTTCTTTAATCAATTTATACACTATTTATGTTTATGACGTCACCCAGCATTCCACTGCAAAACCTACTGTGTAAGGACACATATATTTATGTGTTTGGACCTTAACTGGGGACGCCTTTATTCAATTTGGAATGAAGTATTGGTAGTGTATCTCCTTGTCCAATTTTATATACAATTATAAATAATAATAAAAAAATTGTTTGAAAATCTTAAAATAGAATGAATATGTTAGATTTTAAATTATTAATATGTGGGTGATTATAGACTGGGCCAGCAGAGAGATTCAACACCTTAAAATTTAGTATGCCTAAGTTTTAAAGACATATTAATTTACATTAATGTTAAAAAATTAAATTAAATTAATAATTAATTTCAAAACAGTTAATAAATATACTTACTATAGTAGTTTATTTATGACCTAAGATACACAACAAACAATGATGGGCTTCACGTTAAAGGTGCATGTAAAGTTGAAGTTGTGTTTTTTATGGCAAGTCCTCTTCTTCTTCTTTAACTGATGAGTGACGATGATGATGCACTTAATGCTACTCATAAATAAACTATACCAGCTGCTAAGACATGCAGGGTAAGAAATTGAATATTAGATTACAATCCGAAAAGTAAAATTAAAAATCCTAAACCCTAATAATAAAAATATATATAGTAATAATAAAAGGTCTCATCCATAGTTACAGAATGCTCACTATTTGGAATACCACAGATTTTCTAAGGGGAAGACTATCATATACATCTTATCTCTCTCTCTCTCCTATCCAAATAATCTACAATTCTCCCAACAAAACTTCCATCCATGTCCCTTCCTGTCCGCTGTAAACTCATAAAATGAACTCCTATACAAGGTGATGAATTGTTAGAAGCAGGTTCTGCGAATCACAGAATAGTCGCAAAATTTGAATCTTCTTTCATGTATATATCCTATGAATCAGATATCTTTGGGGTATCGTCAATATGTATGCTCCGATGTTAAAGCTAGTAAAGAATGAAATGAGAAACCCGCCAAGGTATCAGCTATACCACACAATAAAGAATCCAAGATTAGTGCCGGAATAGGTATTCCAAGTCCTCCACGGTTAGACGAGTCTGTCTACTACCATTCTCATCTTCTCCAAATGCAGAAGCCACCATTTCTCTCTTCTTTTGCTGAGGAAACAAGGCAATGCATGTTACAACATAAAAAGGTTTAGGGTGTCATTTCATTATGAAATCATGTGTGAAATGAAATCTGCAGGAACTAGTCTAGGCAGTTATCAGATATGTTCAAGACATGCATAAAGGAACAAACCACTAAATTACACAACACATAAAAAAACTGCAGCCAGAAGCCTCCAACACTACCATATTTAAGCATGTTAAAATTTTCAGATTCAACAAAATAAATGGATAGATACAACCACGAAACAGTACCTGAAGAGCCAAGATACGATCTTCAACAGTATCCTTTACAGTCAACCGCAAAACTGTAACAGGACGAGTCTGCCCAATCCGATGTGCTCTATCAATTGCTTGATCTTCAGTTGTCGGATTCCACCATAGGTCTAGGAGGATGACATGACAAGCTGAAACCATGTTCAGTCCAAGGCTTGCAGCTTTTAGAGACATAATCATGACAGATACCTGGAACAAAGCTTCAAAAGCTTAGCCTTACAGAATAAATAAAAAGATTCTTTCACAGTAAGATAATGTTACACATACTTCTGGAATTGTGTTAAAATCTTTCACGGCTTTGTCTCTAGCAACAATAGACATAGTCCCATCTAGTCTCCTGTACTGAATAGATGACTTCTTTAGACAAGCTTCAAGCAGATCCAACATCCCTGTCCACTGGGAAAAGACAAGTGCTTTCTCTCCAGCTATTTTAGTAGCGCGATTAGAATTTCCATCCAAGTCCAAGTTCATTTTAACATGTGACACTCCTGAGCCAGAATTAGATGTATTCTCAGAGTAATAATTTCCTTTGTCTTCACATACTGGGGAGCTAACCATAGTGGGGCAATCCCGTGATTTAGACAGAGATTGCAAAACCTCAAGAGCAGCCTTAATTTTTGAAGAATCATATGAACATCCAAAAGAATAGAGCTGGGATGTTTCACCAGACTCCGAACCAGTGTAATCAGGATTATTTAAAAGACTGGGCTGATCAGATGCAGAATCCTTTAAAATCTTTTTAGAGAATAATGAAGAAAAACTGAGTTGAGTTTTGCAATCTGTGGCAGGACAATGGGTGTCGTCACCAGTTAAATGCTCACAAATGCACTGATTGCAAAAGACATGTCCACAGACTGTGACAACAGCATCTTCAGGTGGATCCTATAGGATTGTCAGTTCAGTTGTTATCAATATACATCATTCATGAAAAAGGAAAGTGTACAGGGATACAAGAAAATGCAATTCAACAAAATGAACCTAGTACAATCCATATAACTTAGTTAGCAGGTTAGTATTCTAGAACGCAATGGCAAGTTCAGACAAATCACAGTTAAAATAAAATGGCCACACTAAACACGAGAAACGAATTAGTGAATGGAACCATAATTCCTTCCTACCATTGTTCCCGCATACCAAGCAGAGCCTGAAATCTATAAATCTTTCAAATTTAGCAGTTCAATGTCATATTTGTTAAGCACGTTCACATGTAAGAAAACCATTGTTCTGAAGACTGAGGGTCTAAAGATAATTAGCTAGTTCTAGCAAAGTTATATTCAACATGTAACAAAACTATGAAAAATGAAATATTAAAACTTGAAAGACAGCAGCAACACAAAGAACAAAAATGTTCAAGACCATAAATAGTAAGGAATCCTTCATATTCAACTTGTAATAGAACTTTGAATAAACAAAATAACAAAACTTGGAAGTACAACAGCAACACAAAGAACATAAATTTCAAGACCGTAAATAGTATGGAAAACCTTTCACAAATGTTTACTTTTTAAAATTAAACCTGTGATAAATCTGCAAAAGTCTTTTGGCTTTTTATAGTGTCTATATGAATATCTCATCTCATAGCCTATAAATAAAAAGCTCTTAGAATCTCTCTATCAAGTAATTATCAATATTTTACCTCGTGTTATGCCCTCTGTCCCACTTTATATATCCTACTTTCCCTTCTAGTCTGTTCCAAAATAATGTCCACTTTCCTCATTTAAATCTATTTACTTCTCCCGTTTTACCCTTAGTACCTTATAACTTTTTGAATTGGATTGACTAGGTGGATCCATTTATTTACCTTTTTACTAAAATTAATATGGAGTGATAGAAGGTATAAATTGTAAATAATATCACATCTTATTTGTTTCCTTAAAAATTTCACCAAACACAACTATCCCTTATAAAAAGAGATAGGGAGTACAATTATACTCCGTATGTCTTTTCCAGTCTCCCACCCCATTGGACAGTGTACTTAAGAAAAATAAAATATAAAACTATTAAGCATTCAAAAAAATTGAGTGAGAAAGGCTATGAGAGTTTTCACCCATTTTCTCCACGGATTTTTAGATTTATATTTATATGTTTTAGGTCTTGCCAAATGAGTATCATATTGGATGTTTCTCCTTAGACCAGTGGCTGCCTCTGCCATCTTTGAAGAACCAATCTCATAGCCTATAAATACTACACTCTTGTAAACTTTCTATCAACCCATTATCCATCGTATCGATTGTTCTACCCTAGTCTCTTGCTTAATTAACAGTTTAACACATCAGTTTCTGCCTTATTGGAAGATGGTGACACCTTGCCACTACGATACCTTCCAAATCATTACTGACTAACATATATGATCACACCTATCTGACAAAATATAAGAATAGGAAATGTATATGATCACTTACACTGCATATGCTACAAATTGCTAAAGAAGCCTCCAAGCAATTCAAAAGTAAAATCCGTTTCTCTTGGGGTAGTTTCTTCGCCATTTCAATTGAAGATCTCCAATCTAAACTTGAATTGGATCCCCCAACAAGCTGAGGGTGATCACAAGCTTGACGGAGCCGCAGGAGCATCAGTAATATGTTAACATAATTCTGTTTGACAGTTCCAGCAGCTGCATATTTCTAGCATAAAGCAGAAATACCAAAGTTAAAAAGGAAGCTTTCACAATCCAGCACGAAAAACATGGCAAGTGCAGTATAGCAGATTATAATAACATACTGCAAACTGTGCTCGTGATTCAGCCTCAAGTCTGCAATAAAATCCACGTTCCTCTTGTGTAAATTCAACTTTTTTCAGTTCTATTCTCTTAGGAGGAAGGGTGAGAATTGGTTCGCCATCAATTTGTGATCCTAGATAAGATATTAGAAACATATTAGCATAAGACACTCAAGCATCATGCTGCAAACTGTAACATTTCAGTTAAATATAGTGAGCATATCCTATGGCACATAATCAAAATCAATAGGCTATATAATTGAACTGTAGACAGACCAAATTAATCAATAAACCAATTAACCATGTTGTTCTTTCTTTGGTTTTATGTGGAAAAAAAAAAAAAAAAAAAAAACATACAAACCAAAAGGGTTTGCCCCAGCCAAAGGAAACCCATCAAGAGTAAATTATAAATATTCATGTGGTAACACAAAAATTTTCTTGAGAGAACTAGGGGATTTAGGAAACTGTATTTAATGCTCTGTTGGCCATTAAATCAATTGAATATTTCCATATTTGCCCTTCATAAATCTCACATTCATGTTGCAATTATGTTCAAGCTCAATTTAAGAAGAGGGGTATTATTGAAAAATGAACCTATAAAAACCATTATTATACATTACAATTTTTACCAGACATCCAAGAAGTTGCCCTAAATTGAAAGGCCATTAAATCAATTGAATATTTCCATATTTGCCCTTCATAAATCTCACATTCATGTTGCAATTATGTTCAAGCTCAATTTAAGAAGAGGGGTATTATTGAAAAATGAACCTATAAAAACCATTATTATACATTACAATTTTTACCAGACATCCAAGAAGTTGCCCTAAATTGAAAGGACATTTGGGGCATATTTGGAAACAGTTGCATATGAAACCAATATCAAACAGTGTCACAGAAACTCTAGAAAATGGTTAGCAATCATTGTAAAACAATAGAAGGAGATGCAACAAAAATGATCAATAATTCACCTTTAGTTCGGCGAAGCATTACAGTTTTAAGCACTGCCTGCAGTTTTCTGTACCCACTTGTTGGATGTTTTTGAATGGGAACTTTGAGTGAAGAGCAGAATAGTTTATATGAAGAATATGGCTCAAATTTAAGAAATCTGAAGTAGCTATATAGATCATCAATTGCATTCTGTATAGGTGTACCCGACAAGCACCACCGCCTTTTAGCACGTAGACCCCAACAAGCTCTTGCCACTTGAGTTTTGTAATTCTTGATGCTTTGAGCTTCATCTAATACAACCCTAAACCAGGCGACCCGAGCAAGGGGACGAACATCAGTTTCCAGCAATTCACCTTCTGTTCCCTTCTTCCCCTTTAGCGATTTCTTTCCTGAGTTAAGAGGACTTTTCCTCTTTCTACTAGATGAAAGGCCATTCTGTGAATCAGTGGTTTGCTTTTGTGTCTCATCCTCATCATCAACAAGAGGCTGTTTTGGAACTTCCATACTTACAATTGAATAGGTTGTGAGCACAACATCATACTTTGCTAGCTCAAAAGGATCCTTCGTCCTATTGCACCCATGGTATACTAGAACAGAAAGATTAGCGGTGTTCGCTACCTTATTATGCAATTCATCAAACCATTGGCGCAGGACACTTGTTGGGCATACAATAAGGGTGCCGGCAGCAGCCCTACCTTTTGCATGTGCAGATGGTTTAGCAACTGTGGCCGAGCATCCATTAGCTTGACAAGAATTAGCACCATTATTTGACTTAGTAGGAGCATCATCATCATCATCCAAATTCAACGTCTCTGCCTCAGTTTGTTTTGTAAAGGCTGCAAAGGCTTTAACAGATGGAGACCTTTCTTTGAGTATAAGTGCAATGGTTGATATTGTCTTTCCAAGCCCCTAAAAACAACAAAATAATCACAACAGCTCTATTGCAATCTCTGACAATTTGATTAACAGAAAATGGGAATTTAACCACTCAAAAAGTCACCTGATCATCTGCGAGAATCCCACCAGAACAGCGTGGATTTGTTGTTTCTTTCTTGACCATCCATGATAAAGCAATTCGCTGCCCAGATATTGAACAATTACAGTTTCAAAATTAAATATACAATTTCAAGAAGAAAGTTATTACATCCTTATTATGTTATTTATGGCAGAAGAAGGATACTGGATGGCAGAAAAAGCAGATACAGAGTAAATTAACAAAAATGAAATGTACAGTGAGAATTAAAAAAATTTATTGCTTAGTTGCTTCCCTTTAATGTAAAAGTCAAAGGAGGCACATCACAAGTTCTGTTATTTGTGCCAAAGACGATCATGCAATTTAGATAAAGTCACTGAACCTGGTGTCTCAAAAGAGGAACAGCCAAAACACCATCTGGAGGTTTGTCTTCCGATCTTGGCTGAGAAAGGTCCTGGAAAAATGCAGCATACTGTTGATGTCAAAATGAAAAGCAGCTACCCAATGAGATGCAATCATACAGTGAATTATAAATGAGAAACAAGCCCAACTGGATTCTTGCACCATTAAATGCTCTAACTTGCTAATTTACAAAAAAAAAAAAAAAAAAAAAAAAAAAAAAAAAAAACATTTGATCCAAATTTAGACATCATTTGCACCTTATTATCAATGTATCTGCAACAATGTGAGTGAATCAAAAAAAGTTCTGATTACAAGAACATACCTGCAATGCAGTTCGAAAAACAAATTGCTCCCCATTTGGTTTGAATCTCATATATCCTGCTCCGACACGAGTAGAAGTTTCACTAAATGTAGCATGTTGCAAGTTAACAAGTGACTTCCCATTAGGTGGACATGGATTTGGTCGAGCTGACGCACTTATATCCTCCAGAATGCACACATCATCATCATCAGTAGCAGCACAGATTCTTTGAGCTAATGAACTACTTTGAACAGATTGGTGGGCAGTGGTTAACAAACACGAGTCATTTAGTGCACAATCATTTTGAACCAGAATGGGTTTTTCCAAAGTAGTGTTGTCAACCAGATAAGGATGATTGTGTGGCTCTCCAGATTCATGTGACATACCTTCATTTTCATCCTTTCTATAAACCAAATGACTTTTACCTGAACTGGAAGGTAGTAGACAGGGAGAAAATGGATTTGGTGGTTCATTAGAAAGTAGAGCATCCGCATCGCTAAATGGTTTTCTATCAATAATATCATCTTTTAAATCCTCTGCACATACTTCTTGCTTTTTAGAGAACACATATGATGGATCATATGCCCAAGGCTGAGTAGCCACATTATAATCAGTCTCTCTGTTTTTATGCCGAGTGAATTGTAATTCACTTTTACAAGCATGCTGAAAATTGACATTTATATCCCCAGTGTTGGAGTATCCATCTACAACCCCCTCATTTGTTATCCTAGTCAAACCTTCCCCGGAAACAATGTTGTTTGAACCAGCATCCCAAGTTGAAGGCTCCCATTCATCCTTTACATTAAGCATATTATCACCATCAAAAGGCAAAATCCCAAAATCAAACTCACTACAAGAAGGAAAGGGTACACTGTCTCCCAACAACATATGTGAATACTGCTCCCAAGGCTGATCCAGAAGATCAGAAATTTGCCCCGAACTGAACAGAGCATGAGATTCATTGAATTGGGGCGTCTCTATTTCCATCCTAGATGATTCCACCATATTTGATGTTACTGATGCTTTCAAGTTATTTTCAGCTATCAAGTGGCTATGAGACAACCCTAACATAAGAGAGAAGCAAAACTGAGTCACCTATTCTTTCATAAAATAGCAAATAATGACATGGGAAAGTATGCAAAGCAAGAAAAAGAATGAGAATCCAAGAGCAAGTAAAGATACATTTAGACTTATTTTCTAGTTCAGAAAGCCTGAATGTCTCATGTGCTTTTATATTTATGCAACAATGACATCTGAATTATAGCATTATCATCAATGTGATTTACATTACTAAAAAGGCTAAACATGTCCAAAAAAGGGTTCTTCACATCAATTTTCCTTACTGTCATCTTGGATATTAGATGCAGCACTGTAGAAGGCATTATCCTTGTCTGAACAGAATTGGCCATGGCCCTCAATTGGTGGCAAGTCAGTCAGGCTCCCACTGCAACTATGCAACGGAGGGTCAAAGATTACTGCTCTCTCGTTTGAGTGAAGTGAACCATCCAAAACTCCACTCCTAGAATCTGAAGGTTCATATTTACACCAGGAAAAGTAAAACAGGTAATCAAAATGAATGCCTAAATGAAGAGGTTCATTACCACAAAAATAAATAACTCATATAAATGAAAGATATTCAGACAATAAAAAAAAATAAAATAAAATAAAAGCATCACAACCTCAAATCCAGTCCCTCATTAAATGGCATTCATCCATTAAAATAAAAACTCTAATATTTTAATCCCATTCCACAAAGGGTTTTTGACTGAAATAGGAAGATTTTAAGTGGAAAAAAACAAAAATAAGCAGATTTTGAAACTTGGACAAAACAGGCAAAACAACTTTTTAAAATATCTTTTGGTCAAACTTATCCTTGAAATGCATTTGCTAAATGCATTTCATCATCTTTTTGGAGATAATGAAAAATAAAAATTAGGCCCAAACGCAAATGCATTTTAGGGAAAAGTTAAACTGAAATGCTTCTGACTACTTTTGTCCAAATTTTAAAGGCTGGCTTTTTTCATTCATCTCATTCCATTTTAGCCTATGTCAATCAATTTCCTTGAAACAACCCCATAAAGGATGGAAGATAACAAAAGATAATTAAATAAGCAAAGTATTCAGATATTGTGCTGTTGACATACCATGTGGTGCAAAACTCAGTGATGAATCTTCTGGCCTACTCTGAAATCAAAATTCAGATATTCAATGATTAATGACGCAGCACTCACAGAATTATAAGGACAAAAGGGGAACTGAAACAACAAAGACAAAGCAAGAAGGTAGAAGCTATGCATATTGCATAGCAACAAAAGGGGCAAAGGTAGAAGCTATGCATATTGCATAACAACAAAAGGGGCTGTGCAAAGGAACTCACTACCTATACTGTGCACATAATCAATGGCATTACTTCATTGTATATAATAACAATCTACTCACAATAGATAGAACTAAAATGAAAGAAGATAGACAAAATACCAAAAGAAGTAAAACAAAAATGGACCCATACACCCTCTTATTAATAAACTAAACAGCTCCAAAAGTACCATATTCATTACCTAGGACTGACCATAGTACCCTGCCCCGAATAGTTGTTAGAAATATTCACTGAAATATAGATTTCCTTTTTTTCTTTTGATAAGTAACGATGTGGATAGTTTGATTATAAATAGGCGGAATGTGAGAAAATCCATACAAGCAAAGCATCCCAAGTAGGATTTCGTATCAAGACTGAAGCACACATTTCACAACATCATGAAAAATTCCAGTTTCATGGATTTTTCTTTTTTAAAGTCTTCTACCAAACTTGTCATGGCCAGTTGTGCATCTTAATCCTGATCAAGTTACATAAAGTTTCAAATTTTCAAAATAGAACCTTCAGAGTTTACTAAAACAATATTGCATCCACTGAACATCAGTAAGTTAGTGGAAGCAATATCATTTGGTACTATCTCTATCCCCTTCAACCCATTCCTCATTCTGATAATATATACATCCCAAAATAATTTTTGCCCGGATACTTTCTTATTTTGTGACATTGGAATTTTAACACTAGAACCTATAAAACAACTCCACAATTTACATTCACAAGGTGAGCATTTCACATATTACACATGTTTATAACAAAATCTGTATGATCAAATTCAGTAATCTTTACTGCAACATTTAGTTAGAACAGATCATTAGGTATGCCAAGAGAACTATATGGAGAACTTTGCCAATTTGTCAATAACATTCCCATACTGAAACCGGTGTAAACCATCAGTTGCTATTTTGATATTTTTAAGATATTCATGGAATAATGAATTAAAAACAGATCAGCCATCAAGTCCATTTTCATAAGAAATACTCATGGCAGATAAAGTTAGTTGATAACCTGCCAAGGAAAACCAGAAACAAAACGACTCAAATCTACTTCTCTTATCCCCAGTAAAGCAGTAACTACACATGAGCAGCAACTATAATCAAGCTTACTAAACTCCGATCAACTCCATAGGCAAACTAAGTATACCTGCGAAGAATCGGATTCCGTATCCCCAAGCAAGTTCCAAAACATCTCCATGTCGACCATTTCAGCGGGAAATTCAACGACTTCAGTTCCTTCGCCGCCGCCGCCTCCTCCTCCTGCGGCGGATTCCCGCAACTCCTCCGGCGACCAAAGGTTAGCAGTCCCATCCGCCATCATCATCGCAATATCAATCAATCAATCAATCATTCAGAGCAAAAAAAAAAAACAAAAACAAAAACAGGAAAAATCTAACTCCCAATTCTCTAAAGCACGACTTGCGGTCAACCCCTACACAATCATCCGTCAATGTGAAACCAACTGCGAATCTAGAGTTTCACTCTGGTTTTGGTAAAGAACGATGAAACGGTCAATATGTGCGTGCTTACGGATGTACTGGTAAAAAGAACTGAGAAAAGAGAAGAAGGGTATCCATTGAATTTTGAGGGGTTGGTTTCCTTGAGCTTTCGGCCACGCGGCTATCCATTACTTTTTTTCCTTTTTTACTTTGTTACCATTTTTTTTTACTTTGTTACCATATTTATGGATTAATTGGATTTTGATCGTTACCTGTATCTTAATCGGAAGCCATGGGAAACTCAAGCGTATAGGTTTAGGTAATTAATACGGAATAGAAGATTTCTTGACTAGTTGGAAAGTTTTAATAGGTTTCGAGAAATTGCGGAAGATTATATATAATTTCAAAATCTCATGTTGGTATTGCAATTTTCCAATCAACTAATTTAAGGTATATCATTAATTATATATATAATTGACTATTCTCCTGGACCAGCTCCGTATCTCAGAGTAAGTAAAAATTAGTTGAGTTTATCCGGATCGTAAAACGGACGGATAAAGATTCGAAATATTTTGTGATTTATACCAAAAATTTAATTGCATATTTAATTGTCTAAAATAATTTTAATTTAAATTTTTAGAAATAAATTTATTTTGCCGAGTTAATAAATTTGGAGAAGCGGTGAAAGTTGTATTATATACTTTCAAAATATCACGTTGATATTCCAAACAATTATTTTAAGGTATATCATTAACTGCATTTTTAATTGTTTAAAATAATTTAATTTTTTTTTTAGAAATAAATTTGTTTTGCCGAGTTACTAAGTTTGAAGAAATTACGGAAGATTATATACGTTAAAATTACCGCGTTGGTATTCCAATCAACTATTTTATGGCAAATCATTAATTGCATATTTAATTGTCTAAAATAATTTGGAATTTTTAGAAATAAATCCGTTTTACCGAGTTATTAAGTTTGAAGAAATTGCAAAAGATTATATACATTCAATTATCCCAATCAATTATTTTCAGACAAATCATTAATTGCATATTTCATTGAATATTCAATTGTCTAAAATAATTTCAAATTTTTAGAAATAAAATTGTTTTGTCAAGTTATTGAGTTTGGTAAAACTGCAAAATATTATGTACATCCAAAATACCACGTGGTATTAAATCAACTACTATTTTAAAGACAATTATTAATTGGATATATTTAGGGGTGTTTGATTCAAACATTAGGATGGGTATCAAATATCAAATATTTGATATAATGATAATAAATTTAAATAAAAGAAGTCTATTTGATTGGTGGTAAATATGAATTTGAATCTAAATCTAAATAAATAAATAAACCACTACTTAATTACACAAAATATATAATACTATTTTGTCTCATTTTACCTGTTATGTTTACTATTTATTGCTCAAATTAACTCTTTTTTGTTATTTATTTTCTTTAATATTTTAAAATTTGTATTTAATAATATTTTTAATGTAGTTTTTAAATGTATAAAAGTTACACCTTAAATTATGCTTAGCTTGGATTGTGGAATATATAACATTACCTTGTTTGGTTACGGGTTATATTTTATGTTATATAGATCAATTTACTATAACCGGAAGGGTGTGGTTGAGTTGAAGGGACTCATCCATCCTTAATCAAAGGTCAATATATGGTTCGATCATTGGCTTTGAAAATGGAGCAATCTTACCCAAAAGAGGTGCCTATGGAGCAGTCTTACCCAAAAAATGTGTCTACAATTCAGCGAGAGTATTATTATTATTATTATTATTATTATTATTATTATTATTATTATTATTATTGAATAAGATACGAAAATATATGGTGGATGCATATGCATGGTAACAATAGTGGAAAAGATAACGGAAATTATAACGGTAGAAGTATGTTTGTCCAGAATATTGTAAAGTACAACTTCTATAGCATAATATATATAAAAAAATTTAACAGACAAATGAACATAAATGAAGAGTATAACATTCATTCACACTTATTATGTTTTTAGATTATATTATTATATTATTATATTATATTATATAATATAATAATAAGAATTAGTTAATAATGCTAAAGTTTGAATAATTCAAAGTAATCTAAGATTATTTAAGAAAATGAGGATAATCACATTATTACATTGAAACATTACCGTCACATCAACTTTGAGGTAATATAACATTACCATGGAATATCATAACTTAAACTAAACAATATAATATAACATTACCAGACTTAGATTACATAAACCAGCCGCCCCTAATAATAAACTTAATATATTATGAAAATTTAAATTAAAAATAATTTCAATCAAACATGGTTATGGGTGAGCAATGATTCACCAAATACACTCCAATCCGCCAAACCTGTGAAATATGCTCTCATCCCATCCGCAACCACTTAAAGTGGATGGGATGCGAATTCATTTAATAGAACTCCGCTACGAGTGAATTGGATGCAGATGTAACATCTAAAAAAGTTATAGAGTTAATGACTGAATTGGTTTCTGGCTATATTGAAATTACTGATTTGATATTCGATTATCATCCTTATCAAATTAAGTCATCAACTTTGAAAATCTTACACAATTTCGTCACACGTTATCATCCTACGGTTCAAATTGACTAACATCCTACAGATAAGATTGACAGGATGATGAAATTGGATAAGATTTTCAAAGTTATGACTTAATTTGGTAAGGATGATAGCCGATGACCAAATCAGTAATTTCGCTATAGTCAATGAACCAAATCGGTCATTAACTCAAAATGATATGAGTCAATGCCACATGGGGTCCTCCGAGTGCTAAATTTTCAAATTAATCACATGTGGTCTTTCGACTTTCAAATTTAACAGTTCGTGACCCAAGTTAACCACCCATTGTCATTTAACTTTTGAAATTTAACCCGTCGTGATCCTTTTAAAAGGACTATGGTTGGTTAAAATTTAATAGGTTAAGGACCATGTGTAATTAACCTGGATCATGGATGGTAACAATTTGAAAGTCAAAGGACTATATGTGATCAATTTGAAAGTTTATGACTAACCGTGGTAAAATCACTATACATAAAGGATATATATATATATATATATATATATATATATATATATATATATATATATATATTAGATAGAGAGAGACATACATACATACACACATACTATAAGCACTGATTGTTGAGTTTCATACGGCGGGTGTAGTTCAACTCTAAAATTTTCTTTCAATTTTAATTTTGTATTGTTCTATATTTAGCATAGGTTCCTAAGTCCCTCTTTCTCAAATATTATTTTTGACTTGTTGCTTTCTTAATTCCTCAAGGCTGATTCGTTTTTATTCATGACTTCATAATCACAAGTTTAACATTGTGTTGAAGATGAATGAAGAATCAAACAAAATAATCTAGTTATGGTTAAATATAAGGTGTGGTAAGATTATAGCCAGTTGTTAAATGTGTTTCATTGAAGATTATTGTGATTAGATCTGGAAAATATGTACTTTCTTACCACTGTTACCAGTACAATGCAGGCTCCAAGATAATGGTATACTTGGAGATGTACACACACCGGAATTTCTGAACAGCATTCGCGGGTCGGGTCTACCAAATCATACACTGAATTTGAAAACCGGCTCACCGGTAATGTTAATGAGAAATATTGACCATTCTCTTGGGTTGTGCAATGGAACTCGGTTGATAATCACAAAGTTAGCAGACCGTGTTATTGAAGGCGAGCTTCTCATTGGTCCCAACAAAGGTACAAAAGTATTAATCCCCGGAATGTCAATGTCACCCTCGGATCCAAGATTGCCGTTCAAGTTTCAACGAAGGCAATTCCCATTGATGCTTTCATATGCGATGACCATAAACAAAAGTCAAGGCCAAACGTTGACTCATGTAGGTTTAATACTAAAGAAACCGGTTTTTGTACACGGTCAGTTGTACGTAGCTGCATCTCGGGTTAATAATCCAGACGGTCTCAAAATATTGATTGTAAAAGACTCAAGTTCAACTACTACATCAACCACTAATGTTGTATATCATGAAGTTTTCAATAATTTGTAATTTTGTAATGTATTCTTTTTATATTACCAACACCTTGCAACTATTTGTAACATACCATTTTCATACGTTTTTTGTTGTATTCCCAAATATATCACACAAATTTTAACATAAAATACACACAATTAAAAATGTTTAAATAACATCTCGTGCATCGCACGGGTCATATACTAGTATGCAATTAAACCATTAAAGAAGTTAAATGTGTGTAATTTAGTTTTTTTTTTTCAAATATGTGCAATGTAGAATTCATTTCAGAATAAAATTCGTAAATATTCTTATAAATTTTCCAATGTGATAAATCATAAACTCATATATCGACATACCGAGGGCATTTCGGGAATTCATGAGCGACGGATTTCAACCCTCCTTCTCCGATCTGGCAAGGAAGCACGGGAATCTTCTGGGTACCATTTGCACTCAACCTATTTTCTACTGAACTGTTCTACGCAGATATACACACGTTACCTATTTCCTCAATATACAGAAATATACCAAAAACTCGTCTCTCTTTGAACCGGAGAAGAAATTCGATTGGCTGCGCAGCTGGTGGCCTGAATGGGACATTGCTGATAGTTCTGGATTGTTATATGCCGATTAGCAGAAACTGGAGCCATGGTAAGAGAAGCATAACAATTGATTGATCTATTTTATTGATTACTTTATCGTATGATTTATAGAGAAAAACAAGTCCAGTGTATAATGGAGCAGCTATATTTCAATCGAGTTAAGGGAGAGCTGAGAGCACGGATAAATTATGAAATATGAATGCAAGAGCATCCAGTTGAACTTTATTTATTTTTTCCTTTTTGGATGAATTCCGCAATTAGGAATGTTCGTAGGTTTAGCATATCTTTTAAAGTATGGCTTGCAGTTGAATTTTTGTGCTGGACATTACTGTTTTGATGCTAAATTGGCAATGTGCTGTACGAGGAACAGTATGTGTCTACTTAAAGTAGAAATACTTACTATATTGTTTGTAATGGAGTATTTTTCTCTCCCTAGATATATAGTGTAATCAGTTGAGGCTAAATCTTTGAAGTACAATCTTATTGAGATGTACCATGTTAGTTCTATTTTAGACACTT